AATGAAAACGATTATCTGAACGCTCGAAGCGCTGCCACTAAAGGCCAGTTTTTCAGTGCACGGCCGTGGTTTAAACTCAGTTTAAACGCCCGATCTGGCTGGCTTAAACTAGGATCAGCCAATCAGATGTCAACCAGCTGGCACTGAAAAACTGGCCCTAAAATGAGCAACTACAGAAAAAATACTTCTCTGGTGTTACTGCCGCCTAGAGGTTTACGCCGACAGGCTTTGCGACGGCGGCGTCGTCCACTTCAAAAATATTCGGTGGCGGCGGTGACGCCGGCGCTATTGCTCATAAGGTTGATTTCAAAGAGCCATGAGGCTACTAGTCTTATAATTTCAACTCGTCAGCGTTAGGCATTCGCCATGCCAATTATTCTATAATTATAATTCTATTTATTTCATTATTGAATTAGTCTTAAATTTAAATATTGTTACTTCCTACTTGAATTCAAATATTGAGTGTCTGGCGCTGATTGATGGGCGAACAGAAGAAGGTCTGAGGTATATACATACATACACACACGGATCTCTATGTTCTCTACAGATCCGCATATACTATTTAAATTTAGAGAAATAAAAAAACTTTAAAAGTTTAGTATACGTATGTATGTGGGACCCCAGAACAAAATAACAGCAAAAAATGTGTTTGTTTAAAATATTAAAAAAATATATAGAAAAATCAACTTGTCTTTGCTTTGTCTCCAATAATTGAGGAGTTAGATGCAAAGAGGCCGCTCCTATTATAACTGCTTTCTGAGATATTGGCGTTAAAGTTTTTGATGTGTTATAACTTTCTTGTTGTTGTAGTAGGTATATAAAAAGTAGTATTGTTGTAGTATTGAAAAGAATTGTCTACTGCGGAAAAAAATCGTTATATTACCAGTATTCGACCCTAATTTAACTGTAATAAACGCTTTCGTCGAAAAATATGTTACCTATGTTTTTTCTGAGTTACGCTATTTTTGGAAAAATAAAGGAGATCATATTCTCGTCCAGTGGCCTAAATTATGCAAAAAAACTAGTTTCAAAATGTATTGTTCATTTCGTAAAATTGTGCTTTATTAAAGTAGTATTTAGTTCCTTCAAACGATGTATTCATTGTACATACATCATGAAAATTTTGTACAAAATTCCTTAGGCGCCGAACGCCGCCGGCGCGCCGATATTTCCGTAACGGCAGCAGCGTGGCTCGGCGGTCGCCATATTTACATACATATAAACATCTCTGCATACATACAAACAGTTTGCTAAAATGACGTCACACGAACAGCTGATTTTGCCAAATTCGCCAAGAACAAAGTAGCGGTACTGCTGATTGCGCCACCTCTGTCTCCCTACATCATGACATTGAGTTCCCTGTGGCACACATTTTCGAAACTTTACTGAAGGCTCCAAAACTGATTGTGGGTCAGAAACTGGACTGTTCTTCGAAGTTAGTGGGGATAAGCTTCACTTTCTCTTGGGGAATATTTTTCGGTCTTCCAGGCTGATGTATTTGTAATCCTCAAAGCCATGGACTATGTTGTGGAAAATAGGTGGAGGGGAAGGAGTTTACGTGTCTGGAGTGACAGCCAAGCTGCACTCAAGGCATTGGCCAACCCTCTATGCAAATAATTCCAAACTAGTTCGGCAATGCAAGTCTCGAAAAATTATGTTGGTAAATATAAAGAGCTTGCTTTACTCTGGGTGCCAGGTCACCCGCGAGTATCTGGTAAGGAGACATCTGACCATTTGGCCACAGTTGGCTTAGACCACTTCCTCGATACGCAACCAGTTATAACACTCTCTACTTCGGACATCGAAGCCACCATTAGAAATGACTGGGGGCATCGAGGGAATGCGGGTGGATACAACTCATGTTGCCTTCAATCTCAGAAATTCTATCTAGTGTTTTGCTCTCATTGAGCAGATGGGACTGCAGAAAACTTCTAGAACTGCTAAATGGTCACTTCAGGTGGCACAAACACCTGACTGTGTTAAACGTAAATGACAACTCCATTTGCCCATCCTGCCTTAAAGAGGATGAGACGGTGGAACACTTTTTGTGCTTCTTGCTTGCTTGGTTGTTTGTCATCGATTTTCTAGATTCGGTTTTTTTTTTCTATTGTCAGTTTCTGAATTTAAAGTTTGGCGTAAAAAGCTATGCGGTTTTGTGTTTAAAAAATGTGATAAATACGTATTTTTCGCTTCAAAACTCGGAGCGATAAAAAAAAAAATTATTTTATTAATACGCCAAATGCAAATTCATTAGTGTTCCGAACAAGGCGAATTTATATAAGGTGGTGTTACTAGCTCAGCTGATTTTGTGTATGTGTTTCGCCGCACGGCTTCTGATATCAAATTGAAAAATTTTGTTTGAATTTCTACACACACTCTTACAGATTTTGACAGTTTATGCCGTCAAAGCAAAAACAAAATACATGTAAATTTTTGTTTTTGTACTCCTGCTATCACCTTATATTAATTCGCCTTGGTTCCGAACATACGAGGAGTTTATCGTGAAGACAAAGTAAACTACGCTAGCGCTCGGAGTGCTCTTAAAGATATAACTCTTCAGAGCTCTGTTTCTTAAAACTTGCAAGCGTCACACACATGACATTATTTTAATAGATAGAACTCAAGAAAATATTTTATCTTTATCTTTGCGACTCCGATTTCAGTTTTGGAACTCACCCGCGATGTAAATTTACATCATTAGATCAAATCTTCACATTTTTTGACGAGCTTTGGGAATATGTTAGAAATGTAGCAACAGGGGGTCCACCGAAAGCAGTAAAGTTTTGAAAGGGGTCTACGAGAATAAAAGGTTTGGGAACTTCTGGTCTATACTGTGGTTTACGTACGCTTGCAGAAACTGGTTTATGCTTACTCACACTTGACCCGAACGATGAGAGTAAAGGAGGGAAAGTATTTGCGCGGCGATCGGATGTCTTGTTAGGCCGTTTAAATGGAATTGCGCAGGAGTTTAGTATGTACTTTCACTTTAAGGCTCATTGTTGTGTTCTGCAGTATTTTTTGAAAGCTTTGAAAATCTTCAAAAATATGTGATACATTTTTAAAACGAAAATATTTCCACTGTCTAAATTAAAGTGAAATTAAAAAAATGTATTTTTATAAAACAAAAATTTAATGTATAGTAACTTTTTGCGCATAGTAATTGTTACCATTTCAACAGTTAAATAAAATGTCTAATGTATGTTGTTAAGAATCAAAAGGCTCTATTACCTTGTTTATACCGACACACAAGGCGCTTTGACCCAGTTCGCTGTGTGTGTTGACTTCTATTTGTTTTCAAATCGGGTTTTTGTCTATCACATCAGTTAGAAAATAAGTATAAACGCATCACTCATTTGAAGTGAAGTGACAATAGGCTGGTTTTCTTTATACAGCCCGTTTTAAATTCGAATTAATGTTATAATAAATTACAATTATTGTTTGTTTCCATTTCGGTCAACCGCGCAAATTGTTTATTAAAAAAATATCGTTTAAAAATAGCAGATTTTGTTTACTTTTGAATAAGACTTTATCGAGTGCGCTATAAAGACAGGGGTATAAATGCTGTAAAGAAATATATGTTGAGTCCAATAGGTTTTTTGCTAATGCGGTTCTTGTATAGGTATAAACAAGGTATATGAAAAAAATTACTTCTCCATGAAAAAATATCGTTATTTTCGTATTTAAAATTAATCGGAATTTTATGGGGGGTTATAAGAACTCGCTTTAATCGAAACATTGTTTTTTTCGGCTATATTTGTTATTATTTATTGGCCCAGATGTAAATATTGAATGAACTAACATAATTTAAATACTTACGGAACTGCCATTTGTATATCCTATATTCAAGTAGATGTAATTCGAAAAATTTTAACGGATTTCTTCAAATCAACCTGAGCTGCGGACATATTGCGAATTTATTTTTAAACGTTAACCACTACATTATGTTAGTATTAAATACTTTCAATAAGGAAACAATTCTTATTGGAAAATAAATATGAATCGTTTTATTTTAAATATTCCAATGCGGATTTAACGTATTTTATAACCGTTACATGTGGAACATAAATTTAAGGCAGATTGCTATTAACAATTTTTAAACAATTTACGATTGCAATCAAAACAGATTCCAATATTAGGTATATTATGCAAATGCAATCCAATTTTATTTGAGTTATTCAGTTTTAGATACATTTATATTTCTGTGTTCGTATGGAATAGTAGTTTATGTCGGGAAGCTGGCTTTAGTATAATCCGGCATTCCCTTTATTATTTACAACACAAGGAATTTTTCGATGACCCTTAACAAGAATATGGACTTGCTAGTATCGGAACTATTTCTTGCACTTTGTCAGTATGGCCAGTTAGTGTATAATTTTCCCGTCCATTTTGACCTGCTTCGGCTAAAGTGCACTACTACCGTGTATAAATTGGTCGACCTTCTAATAAATCAAGCAATGTTATTGTATCGTCATCGCCGCACAGTGGGCGATTTGGGGGAAAAAATTTTCAAAATCAAATTGCGCCTCTCAGAGGTGAGATAAATCAACGATTTTTTGTTTCGTGTAAAGGATTTTTATTGTAGAATAAGGGAAAATTACAAAGAAATCCGATTCTGAAGTTGCAGAATTACAGGGCTCATGGAAAGGACGAGAATTAAAAAAAAGATTGAAAAAATATAAAAACAAAAATAAGTAAATTAAACTATAAATTAATTTTGTAAACTTATGAACATTTGCTTAATAAAAATTCTAAATTAATTTGTACCACTAAACTGATACTTCGTCGCCTTTTACGAGTCTGGGTTGACTTTCCTAAAAAAACACCCAAAACTGGTGACCCCGAACAAAAAGCACGTTTTCAATCATATTGAGGTTATGGAAGACAGTGGGCTCCAAACATCGACCACGCAGTCTTCGCCGGCAGACAATGTCGCTGTGGTGTATTCACGACTGCCCATTCCTCCAATGTCCAGTGCAAACATAGATGCGTGGTTTATAACCATGGACTTCTGGTTCATAGCCGGCGGAATTGCGGCCGATAAACAAAAAGCCGCAACAGTTTTGGCAGCCCTAGAACCAAGTGTCATTGCGCAGCTTAGCGAATCAATTTTTGCCATGCCGTCCACGGACTGCTATCCGTTTATCAAATCGAAAATTCTAGAGCATTTCACGGACAGTGAACATCGGCGACTTAATCGCTTGTTGTCCGAAATGCCACTGGGGGACAAAAGGCCGTCCGAACTCTATAGCGAGATGAAGCGAGTAGCCGGAAACGTTATTGGTGAAGCCGCGCTCAAAGGCTTATGGACAAAACGCTTGCCCGAAGCCGCGCAAGCCATGGTTGCAGCTTCCACCGGAACAGCAGCTGAGTTTACTCGCATAGCAGATACTATTATTGATACCTTAGTTCCATATCAAGATAATGTGGTCTCTACCAGCCGTCAAGATGAGATTCACGAGCTCCGAACAGCAGTGGCGGAATTGAGTAAATCATTCCAAAAGCTCACCTCACGTTTACGTCCTCGAAACCACAAAAATGGGAACACCGCGCGATCAAATAGTCGAAGTTCACCGAGCAGCAGCGATTTGTTTTGGTACCACAAAAAATTCGTTAAAAACGCCCAAAATTGTCGAATTCTCTGTCGCCACAAACAGCGTGTCGTACAAGCGGTATAGCAAAATCGCACACCTACATCGGCCTGACATACGCAAAATGTGGCTAGTTCCGCTTAGGGAACAGCCACTCAATATTCAATTTTCCGCCTGCAAGTCTTTGACAAGCTTACAAAAAAACGTTTTTTGGTCGATACAGGCGCCGACATCTCGGTTTTGCCACTAATATCCAAGAGCTACGACATGCGAACCACTAGTACACAACTCTACGCTGCTAACGGGTTACAAATAAAGGTCATTGGAGAAAAACGCCTCCAGTTAGACTTCGGCCTCCGTCGAGATTTTCACTGGTCTTTTGTTGTTGCCAATCATAGGTGCAGAATTTCTCCGTCACTAGGATTTACTTATTGACATGAGGAGCAACCAGTTAATCGATAATATAACTGGAATTAAAGCCGTATTGTCATCTTCTGTCTGCCACGCACCAATTGAAATAAAAACGTTTGATTCGACCAACCAATTCGCCGACATCTTATCGGACTTTAAAGATATTACACGACTTTCGCAATACGGCGCCACTAGCAAATCGACCATACTTCATCGCATCGAAACGTTTGGTCAACCTGTGTCTTGCCGGCCTCGTCGCCTCGACCCCGAAAAATTGGCCGCCGCTAAACGAGAGTTTGAGTATCTCTTGAAAGCTGGGATATGTAGACCTTCGAAGAGCAACTGGGCCAGTCCATTACATTTGGTAAAGAAAAGTTATGGCACGTGGCGCCCCTGCGGCGACTATCGCGCCCTAAACGCTTAAACAGTACTGGACCGTTACCCCTTGCCATACCTCAGCGATTTCACTAACGTATTACGAGGGAAAACGATTTTTTCCAAAATAGATCTACAGAAAGCTTTTCACCAAATTCGCATACATCCAGAAGATATTGCTAAAACGGCGATAACGACTCCTTTCGGATCATTCGAGTTTTTATTTATGACCTTTGGACTCTGCAACGCCGCGCAGACTTTTCAGCGCTTGATCAACGAAGTTCTGCACGGTCTGGAGTTTGTGTTTCCGTACATTGACGACTTCTGCGTTGCATCGTCGTTAGTGAATTTGCATCGCGAACACTTGCGAATGGTGTTTCAAAGGCTTCGCGAATATCAGCTAACCATAAAATTGAATAAGTGCGAATTTGGCAAAAGCGAATTACAGTTTCTTGGTCACTATGTGAATTCTGAAGGTATTAAACCGTTGGCTAATAAAGTGGAAGCAATCAGAAACTTTCCCAAGCCAACGGTGGCAATGGAATTAAAAAGTTTTATCGCCATGGTAAATTTTTATAGAAAATTCTTGCCACATGCTGCATCGTATCAATTGCCGCTTCAAAAGCTAATTATAGGTAACAAAAAGAAAGATCGTAGGCCGATTATATGGACGCCGGAAGCTGAGTCTGCCTTCGAAAGGTGCAAAACTGAATTAGCAAACGCAACGTATCTGTCCCATCCCGCAGCTGGTGCCGAGCTAGCCCTCTATACCGACGCCTCCGATATCGCCGTTGGCGCCGCCTTACATCAGGTAATCGATGGTAACCTACAGCCATTAGGGTTTTACTCGAAAAAACTCACGGAAGCTCAGCGGAAGTATAGTACGTACGACCGCGAATTAACAGCTGTGTATCAAGGGATTTGCCATTTCCGATACATGATAGAAGGGAGAAGATGTTACGTTGTTACCGACCATCGTCCCTTGCTATACGCCTTCCAGCAGAAATTGGAGAGGGCACCACCACGGCGAATGCGACAGTTAGATTTTGTTGGTCAGTTCACGACTGATATTCGATACACTCCGGGGGAAGATAACGTAACCGCCGATCTTTTATCGCGCATTTATTCAATAGACAAGGTTATCGATTACGAGAAAATTGCCCTCGCCCAGCAATCTGATGCCGAACTACAACAGCTGCAAGCTCCTACAGGTACACGTACTTCAATTAAATTAAAGCCATTTTCCATACCAGGTTGCAGTAAACAGCTAATATGCGACACATCGACCACAACTATACGTCCGTATATTCCTACACAATTTCGCCAAGAAATCCTATCAGCGGTACACAACCTGTCGCATCCAGATAATCGTGCAAGGGCAAAACTCGTAACAGACCGATTTGTATGCTCAGGAGTTCGCAAAGGTGTTGCTAATTTCGTGCGGACAAGTGCATCGTGTCAACGATCTAAAATACATCGCCATACAAAAACACCTTAGCGAAATACAAGCCACCTAAGGATCGATTCGCCCATATTAACGTTGACATAATCGGCCCATTTCCGCTATGTGAAGAACATCGATATTGCTTGACAATTATTGATCGCTACACTCGGTGGCCAGAAGCTGCACCAATACCCGACATTTGCGCCGAAACCGTCGCCAAAGCTCTTCTTAATATTTGGATTGCACGATTTGGAGTTCCGGCACGTATCACATCCGACCGAGGTAGGCAATTTGAGTCAGCCATATTTAGCGAATTAGTCAAAACAATCGGTGCAACCCACTTGCGTACAACACCGTACCATCCGCATGCAAATGGCATTATTGAAATGTTTCACAGAACACTTAAGTCTGCAATTTTGTCACGAGATCCAAATATGTGGACACTTAAGTTGCCATCGATCCTTCTAAGTCTTCGTGTAGTTTTCAAGCCGGACTTGAACGCTTCACCCGCTGAACTGGTCGTTGGAACAACGTTGAAAATTCCAGGTGCATTCTTTAACAAAACCAAATTTGTCAACCCATCTAGTGAAGCAGTCTCGCAGTTTCGATCATCCATGCAAACATTAGTACCAACCGACACTGCACATCATTCAGCACACACTACGTTCATAAGCCAACCACTTCTTTCGACAAGTCATGTCTTTGTACGCAATGACTCAATTCGCCCATTGCTAACGCACCCATATGACGGACAATTTCCTGTCACCCGCCGAACCTCAAAATATTTTACGGTGGAAATACGCGGACGATCATCTAACATAAGCGTAGATAGACTCAAACCTGCAGTCTTGTCGAATCTTGACACGAAAATTGAACCGGTTCAACCACAGTCGACGAAACCTACCTCAACGGAACGGCGAGTCAATTTTGCACAACACAGGTGTACTTCGTCTAGAAGGGGAGTAGTGTGGCAGCACTGAACGTTCGTCACCACTTATTCCGTTTAATAATCTGGCAGCACGAAGATCACATGTCAACTTTTCTCTTTCTCTAATTACTCCTTCCAAAAAGTATTTTCCTTCTTCTTTTTCGGACATCGACAACGGATAGACGTAAGATTCACGCTTTGTGCGCCACTAAGTAAATTAAACTATAAATAAATTTTGTAAACTTATGAACATTTGCTTAATAAAAATTCTTAATTAATTTGTACCACTAAACTGATACTTCGTCGGCTTTTACGAGTCTATGTTGACTTTTTAAATCATTAATATATTAGCCTATTCATCTTTTTATTAGTACTTATAAGAATAACCTTGATCTTAATTTCATCATCATTGTTTGTCTAATAAGTATATTAATGCCAAGTGGACGATAACGAGCCCACATAAATATATAAAAAAATGCTAAAAAATTCTTGACTTACTGAAAAAAGTTGTTAAGTCCACTTTTTATGAAAACTCATATTTTGATATATGTAGGTGAAAAATCTATAAATTCTATGAGTTAATAAAGTTATTACTTATATGAAAACTGATGAACTTATATGAAAATTAATGAAATTATATGAGTTCATCAATTTAAACTTATATGAAAATCTATAATTTCTGTAACATAATAAAGTTATTGCTTGTATGAAAAATTATAACCTATATTAGATAATAAGCCAATTAGTTATACGAAAACTGATGAACATTTATGAAAATTAATGATATTATATGAGTTCATCAATTTAATACTTATGTGAAAATCTATAATTTCTATGAGCTAATGAAGTTATTACTTATATGAAAAATTATTGAAAACTCATAACTTCTATGAGTTAAAAAGGTTATTGCTTATATGAAAAACTTGTAACAGAGTCGAAAATGTGTGAGAAAGATATGAAACTTCATCAAAATAATGCATGCAAGAAACATTACATATTTACTCGACTTTTTTTTGTACATTGACAAAATCTATGATAATTTGAAATTTATGTTAATTAAGAAACAATTAGGCATATGAAAACTAATGAAACTAACTTACATGAATTAATAAAGCAATTACTTACATCAAATATTATAACTTTCATGAGTTAATGTAGATATTACTTGTACGAAAACTTATGAACTTATATGAGTTCATCAATTTAATACTTATATCAAAATATATAGTTTTTATGAATTAATAAAGCTTTTCTTTTATTAAAAATTATAGCTTGTATGAGCTAATAAGACAATTACTAGTATGAAAACGAATGAACTCATATGAGATAATAAATTGTATACTAGTATGAAAACTCACAACTTCTGTGTTAAAAAGGCTATTAGTTGTATGAAAAAATTTTAGCAGAACCGAAAATATACATATGAAAAAAAATATATATATATATGAAATTGATAAATATAAAAATTCATCGAAATAATGCATGCAAGAAACATTAGATATTTACTCGACTTTTTTGCACATTGAGAAAATCTATAAAAATTTAGAACTTATGTGAATTAATAAACAATTGTTTATTGTATGAAAAATTATAACTTGTATGAGGTAATAAGACTATTACATGAAAATTTGGAACTTATATGAGTTAATAAAATTAGTACTTATATGAAAATTAATGAAAATTGTATATGTTGATAAATTTAATACGAACTGTATTTTAAATGGGGTTTCGTATAATTATTAGTTGTATGAAAAATTGTATCAGAGTCGAAAATGTATGGGGAAAAAATATGAAATTTCTAGATATGAGAATTCACCAAAATAGTGCATGTAAGAAACATTAGATATTTACTCGGCTTTTATATAATTTATATTGAAAGTGATCACTTATAAAATAATAAACTACTAGTGTTCGCCCAGCGGTTGAAAT